ACTGCGAAATGCCGAGACACGCGAGGATATAAAATCTGAATTTTCAGACGCGAAAGTGTTCAGCCGGTTGGCCGCGAAGACTGACTGCCACCAAATCCCTCTTGACGAAAAAATATCGAGGACTTGTACGTTCGCTACCCCATTCGGACGGTACAGGTTTCTAAGACTGCTTTTCGGAATATCGTTCGCATAAGAAGTACTTCAAAAGACTTTGAACAAGATTTTTTACTTTCTGCCTGGTGTTCACGTGTACGTTGTTAACATCGTGCTGTGGGGAACGCTCACGATTTAATACAACCAACGTCTAAAATGTGTGCTTGAAGCCGCCATGCAAGCAGGACTTACTTTTCATCAGAGAAGTGTAAGATCGGAGTCCCGGAAATTGATTTTTTGAGAATGAAGTCGAACCGCGAACATATCAAGTCCATGAAACTGATGCTGATTCCATCCGAAAATTGGGCGCGCAGAGGCTGCTGGGTGTGGTAAATTATTTTTCCAAGTACCTTCCCTCGCTGGCCGAGAGAACGCTCCTGTTGCGAAGCTTGATTAAGCACGACGCTGTTTTTGAATGGACGCCTAATTACACACAACAGTGGCAAGACATATACGAATGCCTAAAAAAAAAAATTAAAAAAAAAACGTCTTGCAATGTTTGATCTGCGTAAAGAAACGAAGGTACTCTTGAATGTATAATGAATGGTCTGGGATCATCGCTTTTACAGCGTCATGGCGACAACTGGCGTCACGTGGCGTACGCATCACGGACGGTAACTTCAGCCGAGCAGCGTTACTTGCAAATTGAGAAGGAAGCTCTACCCTTCGCCTGTGGGTGTCAAAAGTTTCAATACGTTGTTTATGGCCGCAAGATATTTTTGGAAACAGATCGTTGGCCATTGATTGCAATCGCTGAGAAGGCGATTGGAGAGATGCCGCCCAGATTGCAAAGATTTTATCTGCAGTTACTAAAATATGACTTCGTTATGGAATATCTTCCGGAGAAACATCTCCGTTTGGCCGACATGCTCTCAAGGGCAACGCATGGCAAGTCAGGAGATGGCACAGCAAGGGAGGACGAGGTCGAGTGCACGCCATGAGGCTTTGTCAGCGTTACCACAATGAAGAGCATTGCGGATGGAATCGCCAAGAACCCGTATTTACGAGCCGTAATACAAAGCGTCTAGAACGGCACGAGAGTACTAGATTTAAAGCCTTTTGAGGGCGAGCTATCAGTGGTGAGAGGTATTTTGCTGAAAGGCATAAAAGTTGCCGTACCCGAGGCCATGCAACACGAGATGTTGAAGAGAATTCACCAAGGCCACATTGGTCTAAATAAGTGCAAGGCGAGAACACGTAGGTTTGTATTTTGGCCAGGTATTAACGCAGATGTTACATCTCTGATCAAACAGTGTGGGATATGCAGACACTACGTGTACAGTTAGCCAGGCAAACCACTCATCTTGAGCCCGACACCGGACTTTCCGTGGTACAGGTTTGGTGCCGACCTGATCCAGCACGGAAGAAAATCATACTTATCGGCATGTGATGCTCTTTCGAGCTTTCCAGAAGTGGAGGAACTGAACGACACGTCGTCAAGCACACTCATCGAGAAGATGCGGGCCCTATTTGCGAGATACGGCATCAAATTAGAAGTATGCACTGACAATGAACCCCAGTTCTCAAGTCGAGAGTTCGCCTTATTTGCTGGCAAGTATGACTTCAGGCACACAATGTCAAGCCCAGAGTTCTCTCGGCCAAACGATTTATCAGAGAAAGGCGTGCAGGTGGTGAAACGTATCCTCAAAAAGACAAAAGAGACCCGCGAAGATTTTTAGTTTCGTTTGCTTAGCTATAGATAACCCCACTAGAAGACGGACGTTCGCCAGGGGAGCTGCTGCAAGAACGACGGCTGAGGTCAAGCCACTTCAACTTTATTGTTTCTCTCCAGGGGGGAGGGGAAAAGAGCAGACTCCCGTCGCTTGACAGAGTTTCTCCTCCCTTCCATCAACGAGAGAAACTATTTTACATACCAGTGACCCGTTAAGCTAGGTTTACATAGAAGCATGGCACACAACATCGAACAGAATGAAAAGATCTGGCATACATCACGAACATTTCTTGCAGGTCAGAAGTGCCATCTAGAATAGGCACAAATAACACCAGAGAAACAATGAACGAATATCCTTTCTGCTCAAACTCATCAAGTCTGTCCCAAATCTATATGTACTATTTATAACATTAGGCAACGAGTACGGCAGCATCTGGAGGTCTTAGCCTGTTCTCTAGCGAGGCGTTGACCCAGTGTCAACACAACGGCCTGCATATGCAGGCACCCTCCCCTTCATGTTGGCGATTGATAGAGAAACAAGTTTATTTGACCTTACAGACGTTTGATATGTTAGAAGTTTATAATTGTAATGCTCGGTAAATGGAACTATATGAAAGGTTTTGAAAAGTTGGAATGTGTGAGCATTGAACTCCGCATTGCTCATAATTCGGATTATTCTGTTCTGGTGAACATCCGAGTGATGCATATTTGTAATCGTTGTGCTACCCCAGATAAGAAAGCCATAATTATAGCAAGAGTAAAAGAGGGAGTTACAAAGGAGAAATAAGACCGAAAGGTGTAATATAGGACGGGATTTATAAATAATGCCAACAACTTTTGTAAATCTGATGGTACTCTGGCGTCCCAGCACATGTACTAATAAAATATCACCCCAAGAACCTTCACATTTTGAACAAAGTCAATATTTCGTACTTTGAGAGCGAGCCCTTGAGTAGATGAAAACACTGTATTTTTGGATCGAAAAAGTATTGCTTTCGTCTTATCTGTATTAATTACTAAACAGTATGAAATTGTCCAGTCACTTATCTTCTGCAGAACGCTATTTGCCGCTCATAAAACCTGGTGGACAGCTTCCCCCAAAAATAATAAAGTGGTGTCGTCTGCGTAAATCATAGAATCTGCACTATCGTCTATATTTACCATATCATTTATATACAAGTTAAACAGAAGGGGTCCAATGATGCTCCCCTGCGACACTCCTGACGTTAGTTTCTTTAGGCTAGAGCGCTGACTATCTATCACAACACACTGATGCCGATATTAAAAAAAAAGAAAAACTTTGAATCATCGCTGAGGCTTTTCCTCACACCCCCTACGCATTTAATTTTTGAAGCAGAGTTTTATGATTTAGACGGTCGAAAGCCTTTGAAAAATCAATAAAACCCCCAAAGTAATCAATTTTCTTTTGATGTTATTGAAATTAGTTTCTTTTGTTATAATAGAGCGAGTTCCGTCGAATGCCCCTTCATAAAACCGAACTGGCAAGATGTTAGGAAATAGTGTTTTTAGCAGAAGGTGTCTAATCTGGCATGGATTATTTTTTGTCTAGCCCCTTTGAAAACACTGGGAGCACAGAAATGGGCCTATAATTTCCTAGGGTTTTTTTATCCCCAGACTTGAAAATAACCTTAACCTTAGCGACTTGCGTTTTTTCAAGAAAATGGCCATTTTGAAGTTCCGAAATAAAAGTAAGTATTAAAAGAGGAGCAATTCATTTAATTACATGTTTCAGAGGTTTGATTTGAACACCATCTATGTCAGTATGTTTGCTATTTCCAAGGTCCCTAAAACTGATGCCACGTCCTCCCCGTCCCTTGGGGGGGGGGGGGGGGGGGGCAAGAAAAAGTGTGTCAGAGACGCCTGGTTCGAAGGTGAAGAAGCTCGTCCAGACCCAGCATTTCGGAGGTACAGCTCCGCCATTCGAAGGGCGCCAGGTCGTCAAAGTCAAAAAATGGTGGTTGTCTAAGAAGGCAAAAGTCATCAACAATACACGGCGAGGCCGTGCCAAGTTTTGACTGAGGACGGCAGGGTTATTCGGAGGAAAAAGCAACATCTACTACCGACAAGCGAGCCTTTCAGGGCGAACACACCGCACGATGACACCTCGGACGAGGAAACTCAAATAGACTTACCGTCGGTGGCATCACTGGGCCATCACGATGCTTTAGTGCCTTTAAGCAGGCGTTCCCACCCTCCTCCCCAAAGATCTTAGCGGCAAACAAGGCTCACACGAGACTACACTACACTATGGCTGTAACTTTAACCAAGTGCCTTAATGTGTTTTCTTCTTTTTTTTAACAAACGTAATTGCAATGTAATAACATTTTATAAAAAATAAAAAAGAGGGATATATCGTATTCTGCTATATTAGATAGCCACGGGGTGAAGCCGAAGAAATTCTCCCGTTACCAACAAGAGCGCCTGGAACATCGTTCGGAGCCTTTGGACTGAAATGACGCATACTGGACACAGCGGGACGTAATGTCGACCTGATAATAATGCCGTAAGATTAAAACGCTACAACCACCTACTTTCAGTGACGTCTAATAGACCCATCCCACTAAACGTTCCACGGATGCGTGATGCCGCTGTAACTGTAGTTGCCAGAAGGCAGGCGGTCAGCGCACAAGACAGCCCGTGCCGCCTCGTGCTCTGCTCGCGCATATTTACAGAGGGTTTATTGTATGTACAAACAAATTCACACGTTCCAGAATTTATGAAGACAGCGGTGGCATAATGAAGATGGCTGGTGACATCGGTCTATAGTAACCAACGCGCTCACCTTCAACTCCTGTAGTGTTTATGGTCTCATTTGTAAGATCCCCACAAGATAGTATTTTCTGTTCTATTTCATACCCTGGGTGACTCCTGTCACCATCTACTAAAATGCCTCGTCGCTGCTCCACGTTCTTGTGATATCATGGCATGTCGAAACCAAAGTGCACAGGTTTACTGGACGAGTGGATGGCCGCCGAAATATTAGGAGGCATTCGAAATCACTCGCAAAGCTAACAGATTGCTCTAGACTAGCCACTGCGTAGTAGTGACTGTTACTGAATGGTACAAAAAAAAAAACTACTAAATTAGCTCAAGTAAACTTTTAAGAGTTTGATATAACGTGAGCAGCTTTGAAATGGCGTATGGTGATAATTACCGGAGTGACACCAGTCGTCCTCGTCCTTGAACTGGGCAGTCGCTTCGGGCTTCTTGTAGTACCCTCGACTGGCTAGAGGAGACCTAAAGCACAGCTCGCCTACCTCGTCTGGTCCCAAGTTCCGGCTGGTAGTGACGTCCAAAATCTGCAATTTAACGCCGTCATGATATCAATATTGTTCGCTAACAAAAAATCGTTCGAGATGAAAAATCAATATACCGGGTGTTTTTGCGAAGACTTTCAAAAATCCTAAAAATTAGGGCGTTTGAAAAAAAAAAAAAGAATTTGGGAACAAACTACCAGCCACGGCGGACGTCAGGAATTGCCAAAAGCATACTAATTAGCCAGCTAATAATTAAATTGTATTAATTAACTCGTTAATTAGTGGAAATAGACATATAGTCCCAATTAGAAAGGTGCTGAGCGTTATTGAAAACCACTAAATAAGTCATTTTCAGACAGACTTTGAGCGCGAGAGAAGCGTAGTAGTGCACTAAAGTTACCACTCGTGGAGCAGATACAAGGCTAGCGGTTGAGGTGTGGTGCCTGGAGCGCGTCTCCGACTGGTGTGTTTAGCGTCCTTGATGCCCATACATCAAAAGTGGTCCCAAAGTGGCAACAAATGACGTCACAGAAGCCGGAGAGTCATGCTGTTGCATGTCGCAATCCTGGCGGTTGGTCGAAGAAATGCTGGCGAAAACCACAGGCGAACGCGAGTGTCGCTGTCGTCACGGCGTTCCAGGCGTCCCAACTTGCGGCTGCTTTAGCTTCCGCGGACTGCCGCATTGCAGAACGATCTGCAGCAGAACAGGCGTCTGCCACATACACCACAGCTATTGGGACGTCGCCAGGTTCGCGATCGGCGACAGCATGACGATTCTATGACGTCATCAGGCGGAAATCGAGGGACCACTTTTTTGGACCCGCTAAAACACACCAGTCGGAGACGCGTTCCAGGCACCGTAGTGGAGGTAAGGTGTCCGCGAGATTTTTCCGCCTCTTATCTAGCCCCAGCCTTGTACCTGCTCCACGAGTGGCAACTTTAGTGCGCTACTACACTTTTAACGTGCTCAAAGTCTTTCTGAAAATGACTGATTTAGTGGTTTTCGATAACGCTCAGCAACTTTCTAGTTGGAACGATATGTCTATTTCCACTAATCAAAAAGTTAATTAACAAATTTTAGTTAATTAGTTGGCCAATTAGTATGTTTTTGGCAATTCCTGACATCCGCCATGGCGGACAGTTTTTTTTTTAAACGCCTGTCCACGTCGAGGCTATTGTATTTGAGAGGAGTGGAATGTATTCCCCCTAGTAAAGTATTTGCTATATATCATCTCTACCCTGACGGAAGGCGAACCTAGGCCCCGGCCGGCCCGGTCCAGCCATGAGCCCGCCAGAGACAGTGCTGCGTCCGGCTCAAACGTGCTGCCGAGGCAAGACGCCCCACCACTCCCAGCCGACCCACCACCGAACACAACACCAGCCAGTCCTAGCCGCACTCTGACAGGGGCGACAAGGGGCGTAGGTAACCCCAAAGACTACCGCACGCGCTGCGCAACCTTCAAGATCTGTCTGAGTTCATGATTGCCAGGGGGAAACGTCCCTGTAAGCTCCGAGGGCAGCTGCAGCCTTAAAGCGACATTTCGCGGCAGCCAGGAAGAGCCATGGCTCTGTGTTCGGCTAAGGAGGGGCTGAAGGCAGCCAGTGGGGCTGTTTAAACGCTGAGCGCCCACTAGGATCTGGTGCCCAGGTGCTTGGAGTTGGCTTAACTGACGGATCGTGGCAGCCTGCACTCTTGATGTAAGCGGCTGCCATGAAGCACACCGCATCAGGCTATCGGTCGTGATTTGTGTGTAAGAGAGGCGCTTTGTTTTGAGTGTACAGCGACTATAGAACGTATAGGCAGCCCCACGCTGCACACTAGCGAGTCGGACTCGGAGTGCGGCAGGATGGGGGAGACAGATGGCGCAAGAGTATTCTAGCGTAGTTAATATTAAGACTGCGTACCGGTGGGTGTTCGGGTGACGAAACCAAGCATGCGGCGTGATTTGGCGACAGTTTGGTGGACTTGGCCTGTGAATGACAGCCACGCATCGAGTCGTTGACGTCACGCGCCGGATTTCCCGATCCCCAAGACACAGTGCGGGTGTTTTGTGGAGACAACAGAGACCAGTAAATGTCATTGTGCAGGACTTGTCGGCGTTGACAGAAGGGTTCTGTTCCTCAGTCAAGCAATGACACATGTCGAGGTTGGCCTGGAGGGCGACGTAGTTTGCAGGGCTGTGAATGGGCCGAAGCAGCATCAGGTCGTCAGCATACAACATACGGAAGCAGCTGAGGTTCTTGGTTATGCCATCAATGTAGATCGTGAAAAGCGTTGGGCTGAGGACACTCCCCTGGGGTACCCTAGCAAGGACAGCTGTGCATGCAGATGTTGTACCACGGTAGACAACACGCTGGGTCCTGTTGCTAAGAGAGGACCCAAGCCATGATAGTGTGGCACCGGTGATGCCCTTGGTCTCAATGCTGCTAAGCAGGACAAGGTGTGGCAGACGGTCGAAGGCACGAGATGGTCAAGCTGGACCAGCTCGCTAGGAGTACATTGGGCGAGGTGGGCGCTGACTGAGCGTACAAGTGCTCCCAAAGCAGTCTCACAACTGCGGTTGCTGTGAAAACCGCTCTGGGTCGAGGACAGCAACCCGTGCTTTTCAAGGTGGGCATGAATCTTTGAGTTCAGGATTTCCTTAAAGGTGCGACAGATGGTGGATGTTCTGGCAGTGGTCCTAAAGGACGATACTAGGTCCACACAGGCACCATGGTCCTTGTGAACAGGTGTGATACATGCAATCTTGCATGCGTCAGGGGTCACACTCAGGTCTAGAATGTTTTGGGACATAGAGCAAAGGAAATGAGCTATGGAGGGAGCTGTGGATCTGAAGATCAAAGGGGGGATTCCGTCAGGACCAGGACCTTGGAACGGATTGATACGGGAAACAGCTTCCAAGACGTCGTCAACAGTTATGTACATGGTGGGCAGTTTCGAAGAAGTGGGTACGATTGATGGAACCACGTCATCTGCGGGCCTGGGAATGGTGCAGGGGGGGGGGGGGGAGGGGGGAGGGGGGGGCTGCACCGGTTGCCCAGGACGTTGAGGAGTGGCGGCAGAACGCTTCAGCGAGAAGAGATGGAGACGAGACCGAGTCACCATTGATGAGGAGAGAAGGTCACTTGGATCGCTTCCGCTGAGAATTTACGTAAGCCCAGAAAAGCTTCGGCTCCTTTGTCGCTCTCCTGGCATTATCTTCAACAAAGCACTAGTGGGAGGAACGAACGTGCCTCTTGACTTCCCTTTGTAGTTGCTTGGCTGCCAGGATCTCATCCTGAGAGCGGCTTTTCTTAGCACGGCGCAACAGCTTGTCCTTACACTTGCGCAGAATCATATCCCGAGTGATCCAGGGAGCGTGCTGTTTGCGACGATAACGTTGAACAGGGACGGTATCGGACCTCAGGGAACACATCAGAGACCTGACGAGGCCGTATATGTTGTTCATATTAGGTTCAGACAGTACAATATCTCCATGCATGAGGGCAACAAGTCGATGTAAATGGCCAGAGTCAGATTTGCTGTAGGACTGAACAAGCCTTTATTGGGGGCCGCGACAGAGAGAGTTGTAAGAGTAGCTGTATGGCACAGTGCTCGGATGACTCAGGCCATGTGTAACGGCACACTCTTAAACGAGTGTGGGGTCCAGTGCGAAGCAGAGGTCAAGGTAAGACGTAACAACAGCTGGGAAGGTGTAAGAAAGCTCGGTGCCGAGCTGAGTGAGGGCGGTTGATTCTAGAAGTTCCAAGAAAGTACCCGACACTGGGTCCTACGGTATCGGGGCGAGGGGGTTGTTCCAGTAAATCTGGGCGTTGAAACTTCCGAGGACATAAACATTGTGAAATGTGCTTTCCATGGAGACGACGCGCTCAAACGAAAAACGGAGGAGGCCGTAGGAGTCTGTTCGCCGGGAAGGTGGGCAGTAGGCGCAAACCAAAAGGTATCTCCGTCCCCTGATAGTGATCTCGATTGATAGCGATCCCAGGTCAGCCATTTCAGATTCTTGGCGCCGGTGACAAGAGGGCGAACTCGGTACTGCTACAAGAACACCACCGCCGCGAGAGGACGTGCGATCCCTGCGACACACCGTGTACTGCCCAATGGGGATGAGCTGACCGTCGTGATTGGATTGATCCAGCCAGGTGCCACAAGGGGCGAAGATGGTGTTTGGCATAGATGCCATCACAATCTGGAGCTCAGGTATCTTGTTCCTGAGAGATCTTGCGTTCGAGACCCATATCGTAGCATTTTTTGTTGCAATGCACTGGGGGGAAGTGCTGATGCGGGAAACTATGGGTGGAAGACAGACACATGAATTAGCAGAAAGCACGTCGTCTCTAACAAAAAGCGAGTCGTGAAATGCAGGAAGCTGGCAGGGCGCACAGAGCCAAGGCGATGACGACACGAACCGGCGCCGATACATGCTGACGGAGACTCCCTCGCACAATCTGCGCAGCCAGCGGTCGCACCCGTCGCACTGAAGCGCGGCCACATGATCGTACACAACACGCTCACAACGGGTACAGACAGGTCATGTGGGCGGTCCAGGGTTCAGGCTGACATCACCAGAGAGTACAAGCAGGAGCACCCATAAGGCAGATCGGGAGAGGCAAGCGTCATGTTGTCCGTAAGGCCTAGCGACGAGAGGAGTAGAGGGATGCCAGGTGGACCGGGCGCCACGTACACGCGCTGTGTGTTCAGCAGGAGTAGCAACAGGCCGAAGGTGAGAACCAGAGCCACAGTTGTTGAAGTAAGCACGTGTGGAGTGAAAATAACAAAGAAAAGGCAGACGCACAGAAAAGACGGTTGGCCCATGCTGACCAGTGTTACCACAACTCTGAAATGGGTACTTGTCAGCATGTATACCCCACGACAGTGTTAGTGGGAACGGGGCATCTTCAATTTTGTTTTAAATTTTACTTAGAAATTGCATTGACGAGAATCAATCTTTATCGCTTAAGTTAGTATACTAAATGAGCACTTACCAGAACATTGATATTTATAACCACAGTCCTTTGTAGTATGAATTTCCTCAGCTAAGTGGCCGCCCACTCGGGATCGAAAAGCTGTAGACTAAAGTGTCTGAAATTTAGATAGGATGTCCAGACTTTCTGTCCAATGTTAAACGTTTTAGTGCATATACCTTTTGTATCCAAAGTAACTTGCCAATTATTCGAAAAAGGTCGGTAAAAACGTAGATAGATTGAGGATAGGAAATACTCCAAGTATACCTGTCGACCTTCTATTCAAAGCTCAGACACTTCAGCCTTCAGCTTTTCTATCCGAGTGGGCGGCCAATTAGCTGAACAAACGCGATAAAAACGTGAATACATTGTGGAGAAGAAAAGTCTGCTAGATTTCCTGTACACTTTTAGTCCAGAGATTTCAGACCCTTATGCAAGTTAGTGTGTATCCAAAGAGACCGGCCAATTGTCCGAAAACACTTGTTAAAGGGTAGATAAATTTTAGACTGGAAAGGTTGTTAAAATGCCTGTAGACTTTATATTTGGGCACTTCAGCCTATATATTTTGTATTCAAAAATAAGCGGCTACTTAATCGTTAAAATGTAGAAACATTGTAAATAGGAAAGCTCACTATAATATAAACAGGCTTTCTATTTACCTTTCCTTCTCTCAATGTATATACTTTTTAGCGAGTTTTTTTATAGATCTATGGGAAACCCCATTTTTATCAAGCACACATAAACTAAAATGTAGAGAAATCCTTCTACCACACGTGGAGAGGACTGGTAGTTCAATTACCTCTAAACTCTGTTTGCGGTTCACTTGCAATAAAACTCGATTTTCATCCACTAATGACAGAAAATGAATTCACGGTTAGTATCCTGATTACACATTTATGTTTGACTGCTTCCGAATACAATATGGTGCAGGTTGAGTTATTCCTCCCTGCTGAGTGAGTACGCTCCCCGTCTGGACATAAGGGAGCGCATTGCTGCCTATTGTACGCCGGGAGAGTCGACATTGTCTCTTTCTAGTTAGTTTTCAGGAAAGCCGTCTACATGTTGAGCGGAATGCTGGCGCTTGTTTTATTTATTCATTCTCTGTTCAGAAAGATACGCAGTGCTGGAGCCTTTTTTTTCAAAAACACATGTCCTAAGTGCGGGTGGCTTAAAAAAAGCTAAAAAGGTTCTTGAAAAAAAAGAAAATCGAGTTAGAGGTGAATTTTACAGCGTTTTATCTCGTGATTCTGAATATAATGTACGTTTTCCTCGAAGATGTAACTAAACCCGACAAAACTCGAGAAACCTCGACTAGTCGTTAGGTCATAAAGGTATCTTTCGGGTGCCAAGCGGATTTCACTCGTGTGGGCAGCACGCGCAATGAACCTGTTTCTAAATTACCATCAAGGAGAATGCTGGGAGTGTAGGTACACGCGCAGCATGCGCTCGCCTTCCCTATAAAAAGATATAAAGTAAATAACCAAAATAGGGTGTTGTCGAGAGCGCGTGCAAGGTGCCATTTGACTTAGGCTTTTGCTTTAGAACGGTTACTTCTGCAGACGCCAGCACGTGCGGCGTCTGCACCTGCACCTGCAGCATGCTCCTTGGTGCTTAGGTAATTTAGCAAAAGGTCTATTGCAAGCTTGCGAGGTATACTCTCCCGCAATGATACCAGTCTTGACGCCTTTTTTGACCTTTTTAAAAATAGCAAGAGTGCGCGTGCACAGCTTGGATAGGCGCTGAAGACGCGCGGGAACGGAGATTCCGAAAACTGATTTTATGACGTAACGTTCCGAAAAGTGGTACTTTGAAAATTATTTTGTGCAGCCTCCATGCACTAAATTGAAAAATAGTTTCGATATTCGTGATCCTGGAGGGAAAATGAATACGATTTAAGGGGTTTTACTGAAATGAAGGACCGCTTCAGATTTCCTTTAATAGAAACAGCAGTTTCTGACGGTGGTATGCGCGAGCTGCTCTGAGCGGTTTGTGTTTCGGGTGCAGCCATTGCAACGGTCCTGACAAACTTGAAGAGCGCAAGAACATAGAGGTTTTTGACTTTGTCGCCTTCTTCCCTGTATTTCTTCGAAGCGGACCAAGAAGTTTTTCTCTATCAATAAGGGGAAGCCTCTCCGCCTATAACTTCCAAAAAAAAAAAAAACGCCTAAAGTCTATAACAAGTTTTCTAAAAAAATGAAAAATATAAAAAAATCTAAGATAATAGCTGCCCCCACCCCCCCCCAAAAAAAAAAAAAAAAAAAAACTCAAGCAAAACGTTTCTTTGGTTTTAACATTTGTAACATTATCCAGCTCAATTTCCTTCTCACAATTTTTTTTCAAATAAATTATTATTTTTTTTTGGTTTGTGATTTTATACGTCAAAGTTGTGCACCGGAAGTGGAAGTTACGGCGATACTGTTTTTCCTGTAACTCTAACTGTAACAAGTTACTTATTTAAGCTGATAACGCTAACAAAGTAAGTCTTCTCCTTTCTGTAGCTGCAACTGTAACACTGCTACTTTTTACTGGTAACGTGCCCAAGACTGACTTCGATAGAGATTTTAACAACTGCGGTGCATCTCATTTTGTTTGAACAATACCGTTACGAAGTTTGAACACTACCATTGATAGAAAGTATATAAAAGTGGGCGATAAAAACTAATGCAATCTCAATACATATTGTAACAACTGCAGTGCATAGACCCAAGGCTTTCATCTCAAAAAAGTCTATACGAAGTCTGAACGCAACCATTGGTAAAAGGTATAAACAGAGTGGCCGATAATAATGACTCCAATTTCAATAAAAACGTTCTGCCACTGCACTGCATAGACCCATGCCTTAAAAAGGTGTAAACATAATGTATACAAATACGTTGTTAGAAAGTGGGGGAAAAAGTCGCAAGGGTCGTTAAGAAGTGCAAACATTTCAATAAACTGGGAAACATTTCTTTTGTAATGGTGGGCTAGTTGGTAGATGCTTCCTTATACAATATGCGCCGTAAAACAGGAAGAAAAAGAAAGCGACACAAACTGCAGTAAAGTGTTCAGTTGGGGGAGCCGGTACTTAATATTGAACATGGTTAAGGTGCACGCAAAAAGACAGGAACTGAGGAGACAAACACGCAGATGACAAACAAGCGCATCTACGTGTTTCTCTTTGTTCCTGGCTTTTTGTGTGCAACTTTACCATGTTCGATGGTCAGAATACCAAGCGCTGGATTTAATATAAGGTTTATTGAAACAAACAAGACTGTTTATATACCTTATCAGGTTGCGCGTGTTGAAATTCAAAAAGTAAGGGCGCAAACGAGCTGGTGTACATTGCACATGGTTGAAAAAAAAACCCGAGACTGCGGGTAAACTTTTTAGTGTTGTGTCGTTTACCCGCAGTCTCGGGGTTTTTTCAACCATGTTGAAATTCAAGTTCCTTAATGGATACTTCAACTGAAGGTGCACTTATACATCTGCCCCGGAATCTAACGTTGTATGATGAATATAGTATCTGCTTTTGTCCCAGTTTTACGGCGCACATTGTTGAATGCTTTTGCGAGTTCGCACTGACATTGCCGCGCTGCTTACGTTTACAGGTAAAATTCTGATGGATCTAACAACCACAGTTTACCAAGACGAATTGGTCGGAATAGTTTTGGTGGCATTTCTCAATGCGCGTAAAATTTTTGCCATATTTGTTTTTGGTTTTCATCTGATGAACCTTTTAGATGGTCAGACATCTACGCTTGAAACAGACAGACCTCAGCGTTAACGATATTACGTGCAGGACGACAGTTATTAAAAGGCACACAGGCAGAGAGTGTGTCGTACTTTGATTTCGACAGTAGGACCGGGAACTCCTACGTCAGCGTAGCTAATGCCTGGCACAGGGGACACGCACACGCAGCCGCAGCACTCGCTCATCCCGTAGATGTTCTTCAACGACTTGATGTTGTGGAAAGCTGCAACTGTGAGCTGAGCGAGAGTCTCCGTGAGCACTCCACCAGCGACAGCGACGCTCGTCACGGTTGGCAGGCGGGTCCCTGAGCGCAGCATCTCGTTCACGATGATTTGCAGGCGGGACGGGAAGAAAGTCAACCCAGTCACCTGCGAAGAAGTGGGCAAAAGTGCCAGACTGAAAGCATAATAAAAAGATATTATTCTGTCGAATAAGCCCCTCAGAACGTGAGTAAATCATATAAGGCGTATATAAGCTTTGTTATAATATGCACGAATATGCTTAGTGGACGTGTACATATAATCTCTTACTAAGGCTATCAAACTAGTGAGGGATAACAAGCCTAGCCCACGTTATAGGTCCATGCGTTCTCTTAAGCTTAACCTTAAAATTTGTTGCTCGAGTTACGCAGACACTCGTAGACACAACGTGACTCCGAGAAGACATAGAAGAATATGATACCACGCAGTGCGCAGACGTCTGGAGGCAGCTTACTCGGCTGCAGATACCTGATAGGCAATGACAAAATAGCTATTTTTCTCTTTAGAGCTTGTCATAAATTTCTTCACTCCAGGTTAGGTGCGTGCTGTGAGCCGTTATGCCAAATCACGGAACTTGGTCTCTTGCACTTTTAAGCTCGCTACACTATCCATGTTATGTATTCTCACCAAGCTTGTTCGAGCTTGCGGAAAAAATATTCGAAAACATCTGGCAAACACAAAACATGTGCACCAATTGCGACAGATTATTCCCGCTGACATAATCAGTAAAACAAACTTCCCACCAGCGCCGCCTCTAATCTGAAGCAAGTAGAATGAATGGTGCACTTGCTCTCAGTATTACTGCAAGGTTGGTCAAACTTCATTTAACAAATGTAATTTAACGACAGATTTCCTACTTTTTCCTGTGGATGCACTATAATCTAGTGCTCTCAATAAAGTGAAGCTACCTACTTCTGAAATAAAACCCGTAGTTAAGATAGTTTGGGCAAACACCAGAAAAAACAATTGCTAGGATGGATGCACATAAAGCGATCACAAATCACAATTTTTAAAAGAGGCTTGTATTAAAAATGTATGTAAACTTTCAGTTTGTCAACAAGAATACTAAATTTATCACCGTCACATTACTGTGTTCTGAGACCAGAAAATGTAGAAGCGTCTTTGCTGTACTTGTTTTCAATTAAATCTTTAAATTTGTTAGACAAATTTAATTTGTATAACATAGGGCTCTTCTTGTTGGGGTTTTATATTTTTAGAAGTCGTGGAGTAAAATCGGTCGGTATTTTTAAAGTTCGTAATAGGAAAAACATTGAGATGTCTTGGAACTATTAGGGAATTCAGTTTAGTATAAACAATATAATTTACAATAAACAGTATTGATCTGGTTTAGGGCATGGTATATTTTATTTACAGAAGCAAGTCATTAATATTAGACGTTCGGATTAAGACGTGGTATAAAAATTCATGTAGAAATCTCAATGAAAAAAATTGCTGACATACATGCACAGCATCTCGGTCCCCATAGTGGAACAGTTCAGCCTTCAGGCATATCGTAAGTTACATAATATTTTCTCAACATCAAAGCCTCTGTTCAACACGCAGAACAACGCCGTGACGGCATTCGGTAGTCTGGGGCTTAGCTTCATGCCAATAAACAATAAGGTCCATATGTGTGTTATGACGGCTCGCTCTCAAGTGCTAAAGTCAATTTTTTAAGCGAGTTTATCTCGCCAGTCATTCAAATGAATAATTTTTTTTTGTAGCAATCAAACGACGTTTTCGGTAGAACTTTCTGAAAAGCATCTAGAATTGCTCCCAATTTTTAAAATGTACTGTTTTTGAGAGATGTGGCGTTCAGGAATGCAGTACCTTTTCCTGGTGAGTTTTGAACAAAAAAAAAAAGAAACACATTTTACAGCATGCATGTTTTTATCAACATGTTAATGCTCTTAAGTAACATTGTCAAAACAGCTCCGTACTGATCGCCTTTACCGATCATGGTGTGAAACTCGGCGACAGTCTGTTGCATCAAGACTTTGACGAGGTGACCAAAGCTTGGCATCAGAAGCGTTCCGCTTTCAAGAGTTTTTCGAACATTTATTATCTGATCCAGTGAATCTCATTAAAATATCTTAAAAAAATAACCTCTTTTGGGGAAAGATTGCTCGAATATCTTCTGTCATATGGGAATTCAACAAGTTTCTTTAATTAGCTTCATAATTCTATAGGCCGGAAAATGTTATTATGGTGGAGCTGTGTTTCGAATTTGGGTAGAAATCCAGCGAAATCAAATTTAAAAAAAAAGAAAAAAAACAACAACAACAAAACATGTTCGGAGTTTAAATATTGGTAAATATCTGGTTTTGCCGGAAAACAAAACTCGTTTAAAAGTAACGTTTTTAAGTGTCTGTTAACTATTCGCCTTTATTTATTGACCTCCTATCCAGCACTTATTTGGTCAAAATAACTTACCTTAATATGCAGATGAATCAAAGTACCAGCAATGAACATTAACTTTTAAGACTTTTAGCTAGATACGACTCACACGTTGGCTTATAGTTTTTCCCGCAACATACATACCTACAACCGAACAAGAACGACAAGGCATGTTCTTTGAACGTCCGGCCTCCAGCACGCGCTTCATGCCTTCCACCGTGCTTTAGCTGCGTGCACGCGCTCAAGGTGCACGAGATGGGGAAACGTTGTCGACGGCAGGAAGTTCACGCTGAAGGCGGGACAACTAAAGCTCCTCTTTGCCGTTCTCACATTTTAAATGACCATTCTTATAAGAATCACAGCACTTAGTGGAAGCGGCGACCAATTAATTTGTTGTTTCACAGTATCTTTGACGTAACAATATATCGAATGCCCCTCCGCCGCCCTCTGCCGTAAAAAGAAAAAAAAAGTACAAAAGATTTTTACCTTAAAAACAAAAGAAAAAAAGAAAACGCATCGCCGAACTCAAATTGTTTTGCCCAAATATATCACTATACTCGGCGACAACTTTTCTTGGCAATACAGTCGAAGTTGACGAGAGCCTGCGCACAGCCTTATCCAGCGCTCAAAATTGGATAGGGAACACGTGCCTGTACTTTCCACTGCATTGCCAAGAAAAGTTGTCGCCGAGTATAGCGGTCCGAACCAGATCCGAATGCTTTAGAACTAACCGTTATCTTACTAAAGAGTCATAAGTGATTTCATAAAATTTTCAGTGGGGAAATGGCGGTCGACGGAGCTTTCAGATACATGGAGTTGAATGGCTTAAGTTAGTGGAAACCGGCGAAAATAATCCCCATTTCCCCATTGAATGCTTTTGAGAATCTCGTAATTCTTGAATCAGATAACGGTTAGTTGTGAAAATGTAGCATCTTATTCAGGGCAGCTAGCGCCTCTTTTTGGCGGAGAATGTGCATTCGGCGATGCCTAATGTATTTTTGCGGTAAAAAAAACAAACAAAAAAACAAAAAACAAACAAAGACACGAAATGTTTTCAGAACGCGCGGGAGTATCAGATGTTACCGTTTCCACCACCCCGCAAATGTTTTTTTTTTTTAATGTTTCACAACTCACATTTTAAATAGAGACACTGGTTTCTTGGTAGTAATAAATCAAGAAAAAAATTACTGAGTTGTTCTAAACGGACTCAAAGTCTGATGAGTTGATATGAGCTCGATGTGCGCCTTCATATTCCAATTCTTCTCTAACAAATTGGAATGTTTTTTAGGGTCAATAAGAGGGTGCTGTTTTCATAATATTTTCGTTGTGCCCAGGATGTTTCCGCCATAATAGGCTCACTGTGAATCTTCGGAATTTTATCACTTGTAAAATTAAGCGAGCAAGTCAGCAAAATAAAAGATTGGACTGTGCGCGTGTCTGAGTGAGTTAAACCAGCTTGCATATTCGCACATCTGTTGACATATACAATTTGCTAGCATCAAATACCAAGTGTTACGAGATAAATTCGACAACGTAGGCCTATGTTTAGCAGATAAATTATGTGATGTAAACTACAGCCAGTAGAGAAATGACGAATTTTAGAAACAATATCACCGGGAAAAAGATTAATAAAAATAAATACTAAAAGTTCTAGCCCTCATATCCCCGGAACCAGAAGAGTACCAATTGTAGCTTTAATTGTGGTTGTTGGTCGAGTTAAGGTGCTCTGGGGAAACATTGCCTGTCTAGGAGAATGCAAAAATGTCAATACTGAATGAAGATATTAGAAATTAGGCGACGAATATTAGCTCGATTCCCTCGAGGAGAAAAAGGATCAAAACGTATGTTGGGTTCTTTTTCAAGATAAGGGTATAGCTCACTAGTAAACACCTAATGTTACATCGCATGAATAGCCCTAGCGAGACCCGTAATGCGTGTGCGTGTAGAGAAAATTATTCGCTTCTTGCGATAACATAATCTTCGAAGATATTTTTACGAAGGAACAGGCGAGGAAACAAAAAATAGCTGGGGGAAACTGAAACGTTTAATGGGGCGAACTTGGGCTTCAAAGCAAAAAAAGGAAACAAAAGATAACAGCAGAGCGTCGGGGGCGTCGAAGTCGGCGTAACAGCAGAGTCGAACGCTGGGGCGAGACTGAGTGAGCATCTCCATGTGGAGCCCCTTATGTACACGCATTGGCTTCTGGAACAATCGGCCTAGAAGGTTGGGCGATGAGAACATTCGCACCTTGAACAAGCAACAGGGTTCTCGAATTTACTAGAACACTAAATTGCAAGGATAAACAAAAGACGCGTCGCTCCCAGGAACTGAACCCTGGAACTTCGCGTGGGAGGCAGGCACGATAACCGTTAGGCCACGGCCGCGCTGCCTACTTGGCTAGCTGCGCGAGTGGCAATATGATGTGCTCCAGATATCTGGACGCCGTTTAAGGGAATCAGATGGTAGTTCGAAGGCTGCCTTTACTTTGCATTTCGTAAAATCGGCCTGATGTTGCCGCACTTTTATTCCAGTTGTTAAGAATCCTGTTATAAACCGACTGTTATATAATACAGACATAAAGAGGCCTCAGACTGCAAAAATAAAATAGAAAGAAATATTTTTAAAGTTTGGAAAACAAAGTGAATTGTTTTCAGGAATATTTTATAAAACTTTAGAGTTGCTAAAACTTCCGGGTTAATATTATCTGAGCTCAAGATAGTGCGAGCTGTTTCTTTTCATATAGACAAAGTATTTCAGGAATACAAATGTCAGTGAAGACAATATGTCTCAAAACAGACGAGGACAAATCAAGAAAACAAGTTTTTTCAATAATAAACACGGTAGATAAATAGTTATTTAAATCTAATTGTGGCCCGAAAACCGCGGCTCTATTTGATGAAGTCAGATGAAAGGAGTAGCTATTTCCAGACGAGAATGTTTTTTTTTAAATATATCAGGGAATACTTAGTCGAATACTTGGCATGTCCAGACAACTTCTTTCTATTGAGAATAAGAAACTCCTAATAAAATTTCAGGTAATTGTGAAATATTCACACCGAAAAGTTTGCTATCTTCCTGCGCGTATGCTCAGAAATCTGAATAACCTGCATAAAATATAGAATAAAAAATAGGAAGTGTCTTATCACGTATGAAGTACTAGTGCTAAGGCAATATTACCTTGAAACTGCTGATGGTGCTTACAAAATCTTCAAAGCTCATGGAAGGGGAGGCGATGACGTTCACGCAGCCCATGAGGACGGAGGTCACGGTGTGCAAGCCTGACGAGTGAGTGATAGGGTTCCATGCCAGCATGACGTCATCGGATCGGCTACCGAAAATCGACCTGCGCAAGGAGGGATGCCACAACCGTAGTTCGGATGTAGGTAACTGGCAGTGCGCTGTGCACTCCCGTACACAGTAGGATGTTGGGCTATATACAAGCACACAGACCTGCCGAAAGGGAGCTTAAACGTGGTTCTAAGGATGCTGCCCTCTTTGCAAAGGCGTTGCTGAAAGTGCCACCAAATGCTTCTGGGATTCTGCGATTACGACTGCGCCTTTCTACGCATCGTTGGATCTAGAAACTGTGCCTGAATTGAGGACAAACAAAACACCATGTATTAAAACGTAAACAATACGGAAACCGGGGTGTTGCGGTGTCTAGAATATATACCAGTGGACTTGCCACCGATGAAACTGTTGATTGTACAGAAAAATAGCATTTGAACAAAGTTCAAGGGTCAAGGAAAAGTTTGGATAAGCAAAACGTCACGCAGCTGTTTGCATCGGATAGAAAAAAACGTTTTGCTAGGGACGTTTACTGAAGTATGTTTGTCTCAATATAGTGTTCAAATGGTATTTCAGTGTATTTGGATTCATGCCCCTTCAGCTTTCATTTTACAGCGTCAGCTGTACTGGGCAAGTGTTGTGCGGCGGAAAACGACGGGAGCATGCCCATGGTCATCGCATGTGGCTTTGCGCTGGGAGAGGGCGTGCACAACAGCGACACCGCAACACCGCCTAGAGTGAAGGCCGGAGCGCTCCTTTTGTGACGTAGCCGAAAATGGCGATCAAGTTGGGCCGGGCGCCTCAGGATAGCGCTGACATGAAAGCAATGCGCGTTAATAAGCCGTCGTAAAAACAAGTTTTTATTGATAAAAACATTTTTGATTGTCTATAAAGTAGCTCAGAAATACCTGATGGTTTAGTAAACAAATATTGTTGCACGGGAAGCGATCGGGCGCCGCGGAACAGCTCTGACATATAAGCATTGCGAGTCGATTTACATTCGTAGCTACGAATCTGTTTTAATGCATACATGTTTCATTCCCCAGAATGATAGTTACACTCATCAGTTAAGCTAGAAAGGCGTTCAGAGGCGAATTATTAGGGCAGGAACACGGAGGCGCAGTGTAAGATCTATGTGTGTACAACGGTGCTTCGGGAAAGAGGTCGCCGATGGTCTTGCTGAGCCGCTCCGTCAGTCCGTTGGTCTGCGGATGGTACGCCATGGGTCGACGGTGTTCGGGGTGGCACAGACGAAGTATCTCCCGGGTCAGCTGCGCCATGAACGATGACCCCCGATCTGTGATGAGCGTCGTATCGAGGAGCGCTATGTGGAAGGACAACCAATTCGATGAAGGGCTTCACGACTTCCATGACTGTTCCCAACGGAAGGGCTTTTGTCTCCGCGTACCGGATTAGATAGTCCGTGGCTTCGATTATCCAGCGGTTTCTAAACATCGACGGTGGAAAAGGACAAAGTAGATCCATTCCGATCTGTTGGACCGGTGCGGCCGGGAGAGCAATCAGCTGCAGGAGACATGTTAGATTCGTCGGCAGTTTCTTGCGTCACTGGCATTCGTGGCACGACCATGTGTAAAGGTGAATGGTCTTCGGGAGCTTGGGGTAGTACTGTAACTAAAGTGTCCGGAGGTCGGGCCGTCGTGGCAGGCTTGGAAGATCTCCTCTCTAAGGTCAGTAGCGACTACCAGCAGCCATGGCAAATTGTTGTCTTCGAAGTTCTTTTTGTAAAGTACACCTCGTCTAATGGCGAACGTCGGCGGGGCTCTCGAGAAGACACGAGAAATAGCACCCCCTCGCCCTTTGAGGAGCTCGATCACACCGCGCAGCTCAAGATCGTCTCGTCAGTATTTACTGCGCTTAGGAAGCACTCGTCGTCATCGTCGTCACTGGGGGCGGAAGTTGTCACGACATGGGCTCTGGACAGGCAGCCGGCATCGGTGTGCTTGTGGCCCGACTTGTAAACCACAGTCATGTTAAACTCTTGAAATCGGAGACTCGAGCGAGCGAGGCGTCATGAAGGGTCCTTGAGGTTCGCAAGCGAGCAGAGCGAGTGCTGGTTCGTGACTACGCGGAAGTGGCTGCCGTAGAAATACGGGCGAAACTTTCTGATTGCCCAGACGACCGCAATACACTCTTTTTTCAGTCGTGGAGTAATTTCTCTCTGCCTTGGAGAGTGTCCGACTTGCGTAGGCGATGACTCGCTCGGTGCCCTGAACCAGTGCTTGCACTTGAACCAGTACCGCGACAAATTCTGCGTTACTTGCGTCCCTGTCAATCTAGGTTTCAGCATTCTGATCGAAGTGTCCAAGAACAGGAAAAGTCTGGAGTCTCTCTGGAGTCTTCGCTTCAACTCGTAAAATGCCTGCTGCTGCTCCTCAGCCTATTCGAAGTTTTCGCCGTCCTTTGTGAGGTTTGTGAACGTTGCGAAAATCCTTGCTAAATCGCGAACAAAGCGCCAATAGTACGCACATAGTCCAAAAAATCTTCGCACGGCCTTCTTTTCTGCAGGCACTGGAAATGCCGCGACGGCGCGAGTCTTCTCTGGGTCTGGACGAACGCCATCGTTGTTAACCACGTGGCCTAGGAGCTTCAGTTTGTCATAGGCGAACTTACACTTCGACGACTTGAGGGTGAGTCCGGCGGCCCGTATGGCTTAGAGCTCGGAGTCGGCGCAAGTGTTCGTTAAAGTCGCTTGAAAACACCACGACGTCGTAGAGGTAGACGAGACAGCTTTGCCACTTCAGTCCGGCCAGTACGGTGTCCATGACACGCTGGAAAGTTGCTGGCGCCGTGCATAGTCCGAAGGGCATCACCTTGAACTCGTACAGTCCATCCGGCGTGAAAAAAAACTGTCTTCCATCGGTCCCGCTCGTCAACTTCGTTCTGCCAATGGCTGCTCTTCAGGCCCATCGATGAAAATGTCGAGGGTGGCGCAGCCGGTCAAGCGTGTCGCCTATGCGGGCGAGTGGATAGACGTCCTTCTTGGTCACCGCGTCCAGCCAACACCACCTAGACTAGGTGTTCTTGGCCCAGCTGCCGGCAGCTGCCGGTAGTCCCCGCAGAACCTAAGCTTTGCGTACTTTTTCTTAACCACTACGACTGGTGCGGCACGCGAAATGCTTGAAGGCTGGATAAGGTTGTCGTTCAGCTATTTCTTAAGCTTGCTCTTGGATGACCTGCTTTTTTTTACGGAGACTCTGTACGGTGATCAATGCACAGGGAGCGTGTCGTGCTCGTTAACGATGCGGCGCTCCGCAACAGCCGTTTGGCGCATCATCGACGACGTCTCAATGCGGCCGCTGTGTTTGGCGAGGGGGTTAATGAGCTGCCGTCGCTTCGTTTCGTGCTTGGTCGTGCGTCGGCTTCTTCCTCGAAAATTCTCATTTCGCTGGGGAGTGGGCTAGCACTGCGTAACTTGGAGGGACACGCTGCATGGGTTTTACCTCGCACCTCAACCAAAACGTCACGAATGACAATTGATGAGGCGACGAACACTGAAGCAAACTAAACATTTAATGGGGCAAACTTGCGCTAAAAAAATGGAGTAAGGCCAGCGTCGCAGGTATCGATGGCAGTGTGGCAGCAGGATCGATCGCTGGGGCGAGACTGATCCCGGTTCGCCACGCGGAGCAGCTCTTGTTCCCGTGTGCGTTTCTGGAACATTCGGCGTAGAAGTTCGGCGGGTAGAACATTTGTACCTAGGTCAGACGACAATGTTCATGAACTTGCGAAATTTTTAAATTAAAAAAAAATAAATAAAAGAAGCTTCCGCTCCCAGGGGTCAAGCATGGGGCCTCCGCGCGAAAGCCAAGTACGATAACCATTCGGCCACGCACGGGCTCGTTCAGCGACTCGCGTTGCAATATGAACTCCGCTTCCATAGGTCGGCGCTTACAGAAGGCGTTTCCCAGCCAGTTTCCCCAGCCAGTGAGCGGGGCTGCGACGCCATCCCGTGACGACGTTGCGAACTTTGAGCACCCCAAACACTTCAAACAGGTCAGCGCATGTACCGGAACACTAATGATAACACCTTAAAATTCTTATGACAAATTGTATAGGTGATGCTAGAAATCTAGTAAGAGCTGAAAAGTGCATTCAGTTTGTAAGTACTACCCAGAGTCATGCAATAGCCTTTTGGTCGCGAAACTTCTCCATAACGACAAGAGAGAGCTCGGTGCGCCACCACGCTTTTCTCTAGCGTCGACATTGGGCGAAGAGCCGCAACTTTAGACAGCATTGCTAAGAGTCTGGCGAGCATAAATTGGGATCGTTATTTAAAACTGCCCGGAATGAGTCGCAAATCGGACTGACATCGCTTCCCGTTTATGTAAGCGTATCTAGCCCTGGTGCGTTTATTACGCCGATTAAACTTTCTTTGCTGAAAATTCTTCAGAATTACGGCACTCTTCATTCTCTGTTTATGCCTCAAGATTTGCTCTCAATGCTACCATCGCCATCAACATTGAGCGCCACGAGTAGCGCCATTAACTAGAGGCACTGCGGACTCGTGTACTCAGCTGCTTGACACGTTTCCGTTTGCAAATCATCGTTTTGTTTGAACAGAAACAAAACAAAAGCTGGTTTGTAAGTTATTGTTTATTAGAGATGCGTAAGAAATGACCGGTGATTGCGGACGGTCAATAATAACAGGCGTAACAAAATGTCGGTGCACGAGAAATTGTTTCTGAAAGGTAGGTACTTGTTATCGGGAATTGAGGGAGGCTAAATGAGAGTGGAGTGGCAAAACGTAAACGCTCCATCTTGAACAGTGGCAACTTTGGCGGCAGTTTTTGATTCTGTAACAAACTTTGGACAACGTTTCGTGACTTGTTGTTAATTGAGAGACTCTGCTACAGTTGTGTCTTGTTAATACGGACACTGTTAATAGGGACACCCTGTTATGTAGAAGCTATTTTCCGGGACGATCAAAGGAAATGCACGAATTGTTGTCTAGGTAATGTGAACAGCTCACAGTATAAACGTATTTCTGGAGGAGCGGATTATGAGTGAGACATATGAGCGAGACACCCCTGTACTACCTAAACGCATTGATTACATGCTTGCTGACTCGTTTCTTATTTAATGCAACGATATTTGATATTTCTTCAGAATTTATTTCTTCGAAGCTCCTTAGGGGACTAATAGCATTGGGACATAAAATAATTAAAATACATGAGTTTATATTGAAAACCACGAACTGCCAGTACTTACCTTAGAGTGTAAAATGCGCCCACAATGTTGTAATGCGTGATCTCAACTCCCTTGGGAAGTCCCGTCGTGCCAGAAGTGTAGGTCAGGGCAAGGACGCTGCTTCGAGGATCTTCTATCGGGACCTCCTTGTAGCTTTTCTCGTCAAGTTCAGAAAAAGTGGACGCCGAAATAAATCCAGGAGCTTCGCCCATCACAAACATGCCCTGCAAAGAATATAACATAAAATGCTTATATTTAGGGTGACACCCCACTTTGGTTACTTTGATTCTGAACGAACAGATGGCAATGCCATCGCCTTCCAGACCTTTACATGAACGCAATAAATCGCGTGTGGTGGCGCTCCGATGCTGTGTAATATTTGTTTTTTCCTGGCCGTTCACTTGTTTTTCGATGAGCGAGCTCTCTGTGGAAGGCGAACCGGCTGCACCAGTTCTCGTGCAAAGGGAGCAGTTGCCCACGCTCTGAGCACGCGTCTTCAGCAAATGTCGCCAGAACAAAGCGCAACAATTGTTTTGAGCTAATGGCGAGGCACACGCACGACAATAGAACCGGCGCGTTTAAGAATTGAGACTGGCGGTAAGCATTTATCACTCCGGCGATCTTGGAGACCCATTACACATATTTCAGCATGGTAAGATTCGCGTGACGTGTCGGCCGTACTGTAGTGCACGTGTTTGGCACTTCATAAATATCCACGAAAACATGATGACGTAATCGACGTGGGTTTCCAGAATTTTATCTTGAGAAATAAAATATTTCATGAAGTAAAACCAATAAAGTGTTCTCGCTTGGTCCGGTGTCTCATTTAAGTTTACTGCGATTTTTATATTGACCTTGAGACTTGAAAACTCAAAAATAACCTCAGCTGTTGTAGATATTGAGTTTTATAAACACGAGCCAACACAGTCACAAAAATTGTATGCTTAGAAGATAACAAGAGTAATGTCAACTTTAAAGAATTACTCTCTCCATTAAATAATCAAAATTGCTCTTAGCAGTGAGTGCAGGTCCATATAAAATGACTGGACAGGATCAGTTATTTTTATTTTATGGATACCTACCAAAGAGTTCAAGCCATCTAGCAATATTAGTTTCGTGATTTAAGCGAACCAAGTAGTTGTGTGCAAAAACAGTAAAAATATATGCAAGCGGCGAGTGTGACATTGTGTCAAATATTGTGTTACGTACACATATCGTCCGCGCGGGTGAGGACTTAAAAAGCGCTGCATTTTACACTCTTGAGTGCATTGAAAGCTAAGGCTTCTACTCGTAGTGCTGAGGCTGTAATGTTTGCATTTTTATAGTATTTTATTACATTCCGGCGTGGTGTAAGCTCTGTCTCCTAATTGCTTGCAATAGAACAAGTGATGCATTTTTACTTTGGGTTGCTGAAACCAATCCACGTGCTGACGGCTGACAGTCTCCTCGGTCAAGGGTTTGCCACAAAGCGCGCGCCGACAGCGAGTTTTCGCCGCGTGATTTTACGCCGTCAGAATGGATTTTGAGAGACAACTTTTAGCTACGCGAGCGGCCACATGGGGACATTGCGTGTTGATTGTGCCACACGTGACCAGTAGCGTAGGTTCTTCTTTAATCCGAGCTGAATCGCACTGTAAACTATAAGTCAAATCAATATTGATTTGACCTATAGTTTACAGTACGATAGTCTACAGTTTAGTTGACGTGAAAAGTGGCTGGCACTGCGCATGTGCAAAAGGCAAGCTCCGTTTCACCATTAGGGCGAGCGAAGCGGAAGCTACACGCGCGAGCATGCTGCCTCGAAATATTCTTAGAACCCCTCACTCCCGCTCGGGTAATCTTTATTATAATCTGTGGCCCGAGCCTGCACCAGTCCTCGTCGGAACCGCCATGGGCTCTGCAAGCTAGGCCCATCAAGTTGTCGGAAACAGAGCCGATGTGCGCGGAAAGACGCTTTCGATGAAACGTCGCAAGATGTGTCGATGAAACGATCGCGGAAACCTTTCGATCAAACAAACTGTCCATGAAAAGTCGCTGTATAGGAAACAATCTGTCAATAGGACGCCGTTCGACTAACTGGTGACCACTGCTGTGCAGGGCCGTTTGAAGCATGGAACTCACTTTTGTAGCTTTTGTTGCGCTCAAATGCCTACAATCTACGTGTGAAACATCAAAATATCATCCCGACCGTGAAGTTGCTGCAGTTTATGTATGAATTTGAGCATATCTCAAGGGAGGCTACAGTAATGGATACAAGAGCAAGTGACTAGTCCTAGGAGGCCCTTCCACTATACGACAAAAACGACGATGCCATCGCGGCAACCGTGTCAACCAAGTCAAGGAGTTGAAGGGCCGGTTTTTATTTCCGATGAACGAAATACGTATGGAACATACTGTGAATATGACTCCTGCTGAATGGTGTTTTATCGTCACTGCTATCGATAGGAAGGGTCGCCACGCGCTGTATGAAGCGCAGGATTCGCGTGTTTTCTTAAGATTCTGTCATCGCTGTTCGTTCATCGCCGTGAATGAAACCGACGACTCAGCGTGCATTTGAAACTGCCCAGCATCCAAAAATCGTCGTTTTTGTGAACTTGCGGTTCTACCTTATCTTCATACTTTTGCGCAGGGTAGTGCAAAGCATGGTAAAGAGTAGAAATTCAAATGGTTTCGATCGTTGTTTTAATCAGGATTTAAATCCTTACTGGAAATACTCCAGTTTTACGGAGATAATTTAAATCATGCCCTTTCTAAAAATAAAATCCCGAAAATATATTTCTATTTAATGTTTGCTTGCGACTAAATGCTTCTCATGAGTGTTTATTTTACATTTAATTAAAATGATACCCGAAAAATAGAATAAACTTCAGGCTGAACAAAAGAAAAATACGGTACCCTTCTGAGCAAATTGAAAAAGACCTTTGTTTCTACCTTCCCCTTGATTCGCTCAGTTCTCTGGTATCCTATGCAGGCCAATTGAAATGCGAAGGAAGGAAACAAACACTAGAAGTATGCGTCCATAGAAACGCACACAGAGCGGCAGAGAGAGAAAGAGAGAAAAAAGAAAAAAAAGGGACAGGAAGACACAGGCAGCACTCTCAGAAAAAAAGGTTTATTCTTACACCCCTTGCCCCATATAAGATATCCCAAAACTTTATTTCGACGTACAGCGCGCTGACGTAGACCGACTGTACCAACTTCCACGAGTGGCGTGAGAGCTGAGTTGTACAGCTTATGAAAATAGCTAATGTACGTGTTCCTGACTACAAAAAAGCAACCGGGATTTGCTCGGCCCTTCCGCAAAACCTCGGTATTGTTTTTCTGTAGGCTTTGATACATAGTTTAGCTGTTTACTGAGGTATATCAGACCGTTCTCAGGCCCTCCCGTAAACGTTGAGACCGTCTATTCGACGTCAGCGCGCTGTACGCCGAACCAAATCTTTGGGGAGCATTCTATGGGACAAAAGGGTGCAAGACGACACCCCTTTTTTTTTAGAGTGAGAGGTGCAGACTGTTGTAAGTCTAAGGTAGATCTTGCATTTGCCAGTATAATCATTGTGTCTTACACCAGCCTGCTGCGTGTTTTTAAGGTCACACTCTTTAAAACCAATTGAGAAAAACAATGCTTTTGGACAACTAGCTAACTGTGCGCGATTTCGAAATCAGAAATTATTATTCCAAGTTAAAGCGATTGAAATCATATACCGGTAATTTAGATAAAAGAGATTTCACTTAAATCAAATAAAATTGTTAATATTATTTTTGTTATTTAGTATGTTTCTCACTTCCTGTAAAGTACAGGCGTGGGTTGACGACTTTAGAAAGCGTTTCCCAAGAGTGAGAAATTATGCACTGAACCGAACCGCGTAAAGTACCTGTACCCTCGTTAACAATGTGCACAATTTGTAATATAATGTATTTAAAACAATTAGAGGAAATCCCCAATATGAAACAGATTTACGCATGCATAAATTTACTTTTACCTGAAATGGCGCAAACTTCTCGCCTGCTAGCAACTTGTCGCCGCTGAAAGTATCCGCCAGGTCCAGGAACCACTTTTGACCTCTCCAAGACAGGCGAAGCGCTCTAACAACTGAGTGGACGAGGAGCTAGCCGACAGTACAACATGCGAATGTTAACAGTTTTTACCGTTCTTGATCGTAACTGATACAAGGGTGAGGTCAGCGTTCAATTACGTATAATCACCGAACGTCTTGGAATCCTTAGTACTAGCTGGGGATTCGTAGCCCAGCGCATTGCTTCGCCGTCTTCGAGGCGGCTATGAAAATAAAGTCGTATAATTTAAATATAAAGTACAGATGATGATTTTGTTCTGTGACAAGATAGAAAGAGAAATATTCGCAATAAACAACACAATAAAAACAAAATTGAAAACGTTCCAGAGCAGTCGGGGCTTTCTTTCCATATCAAGGTGAACAATTGGCGTCGTTACGAGAATTTAGGTATTTAACGCTCAGAAACATACAAAGATAACTGGGATAACTGCTCTCATTTCCGTGTTTTTCTTCCAGTCGCAATAGGGTGTTACTTTTTTATATATGCAATTTTGTTAGAGAATTTTAACAACTATACTCTGTTTCATCATAAGTAAAAAAGGCAATCAAATATATGAAGACAAAAAAAAAAAAAGCGACCTCACATACTAAAGACGCAATGTCACGGTGTATTCACTATATTTTGTGAAGGTAAACATTTGACAGAGATCTGTCTGGATCTCTGTCAAGTACTATATTTTGTTTACCCGATGGTCCCACAAGCACAAAGAAGAACGGACTGCATGACCGTGCACCCTTGACGCGGTTTCATTGGCTTCATCGACCCGTAGTGTTAGCATTGCTCTGATCTAAAGCAAAACAAAGTAAAAATTCAGATCTTAGGGTGAATCCAACAAACGGCCCTAGACACGCCCCAGCAAAAAAGAAAAAAGGAAAGCATGTTAATTTATTGACAAACTGAAAATCTTTTGTCGTGCAACCGAAATCTTAATTGCGGGGTGACGTTTTAGTAATAGGCCTCCGTCAGAGTGCGGGCACCTGGTTTGGGATTAAACCCCGCCAAATGGGGACCCGTAGGCCAGCGCTATACCTCAGAGCTTCCGATACTTTTTTTAAATACATTATTTCCGGTAAAAAGCCACCGAGACGGCTATAAAAGAAACTGTAGTCGCACCATTCAGACAAGCCATGGTGTAGTTGCAAAAAAACATTTTTGCAATTGGCTAAAAAATTGAATTCACAAACATGGGGGAATTGCAACCGCCAGAATCCCTCTAGCGGCGTCAATTTTATTTTAGCATGCCAATGATGATGATAATGCTAATATTTATTAGCATTTGGAGAGATACTGGTGGTGGAGAGATACTGACCTGCAGCACCAAAAACGATGCATAAAATTAGTAAGGGTGATTGTAGATTGATATAATACTCAAGATGAATGTGGATGTTAAAATGGAGCTTGTGGGCGAGAGCGCGGCTTGATGTTGCGGGTGATGATCTTAGATTGGTGGGTTATGTACTTGGGTGTACATAGAGTGGAAGTTAAGCGAAAAATAGGGTCTCTAACCAAAAACTTTAATAGGGTAAATGTTTATTAAAATTTTTGGTTAAAGTCCCTAATATTTGCCTAATGCCTATTCCTAACCAGGCAGAGGGCGGCTGAACGTTTGTCTTCTGGAGCGGAGGTGTTGTGCAAGGGATAGGCAGAAACATTTACAGTCGGAATGATCAGTGGGCGGACTGTATGTCAATGCAGAGGGTGGGAGCGCCATTGTTCAACTGCCCGCACCACGAAAGAGCTTCTGCTCCGTAACATGCGGGCCAGGAGGGGTTGCAAGTCTCCTCTACGGGCTTTGCGCACTGCCCGTGAAAGGGGTGGCGAGTTACCCTCAAACAGTATGATGAGGGCCAGCACACGCAGGGAGGCTACCTTGCGACGGATGGGGAGCGGTCTCCAGTTGACCACACGGAGCGGTTGAGTGATGTCAATCTCCCGAGGTGGAGGAGTTCGCGACGACGACGAGCACTGGCGGAAGATAGCAGATGCTTCTCATCGCTGAACATTCTCAAGAGAAGCTGCCGACTTGTGCTTTGCTTGAGCAGGATCCCAAAATTAACTGCAATACTCCAGGTGGAGCGAGCAAAAGGTGCTGCAGAGTGCGTGGGCTTATTCCCCTGGGCACGCATAGTATAAATCTGAGTATATTTCGAGATTTGGAAATAGCACTGGTGATGTGGATTGTGAAGCGCATTTGGTAGTCCAGGATCACGCGAAGCAGTTTAGTTGCTGCAGCACGGCGAAGGAGAGTTCCCGTAAGGACGAGGGCAACTGGAGGAGGTGTCCGCCGAGAGTGGTGAACAAGCATTGAGGTGCACTTGGCTGCATTAAAAGGCAGGCGGTTTGAGTGCGACCACATGAGGGCATGGTAGAGGTCCTCCAGCAGCTACGGGTAATCGATGATGGGACGGGCGACTGGTCTCATCGGCGTCAAGTCATCGGCGTACAGTAGAAGCGTCGACTCAAGGTTGGCTGATAACATAAAGATGTTAAATAAGGTTGACCCTAACACACTGCCTTGCGGTATGCCAGACAGAACATCCGACCAGGTAAAGCTAGCCCCGTGGAAGATGGCGGCGGCCGGTTAAGAAAGCGGGTATCCATTCGCAACAACATCCTCTAATCCCCAAAAGGCGGACCTTCCGAAGAAGTAGGCCATAGTCCACCTTGCCACACACCTGCCTGACACCTGGCCGCGGCAGAGCGCGCGGCGGCGGCGGCTCCGGCGTGCCAGCTGTGCGTCGTGTGACGTCACTGCTCCCCGGGCATGCGCAGCACGGCTCTGGAGGAGCCACGCGAAACTGCTCAACCTCGGCCAGTGTAGCTCACGCTACAAAAGTGAAAGGACGGAAGCAAAAGCGGATCCGGCTTTGAGTTCGATTATCATTTAAGATTGTTTGGTCGCTATTCACAAAAGAGTTGGAAAATAATTTTATGGTCCCTTTATGGTAATGCCACCTTTCAATTTATGGCGGCGTGGAAATTTTTCCTGAAACAACAGCCTCGATCAATTTCTAGTCTAAACACGTTCAGGGTGGAAAAACAAAATGCTCAGCGCCCCTCTCTGCGAGGAGCGCTGATGAGCTCTGATTACAAGGATAGTGCATTTACGCCAAGATTAGCTGCCTTTTCTCCGCCTGTTATCCCCCTCCAACCAGAACGAGCAAGACAGAACTTCGCCCGCTTTTTCACAGTGAATCAGTGGCGTCAGGGCCGGGCTTTCGGCACCGAACGCCTCCGTCGTTTCCAGGTCATAGCAAATGGCTGCTTTACTTTTTTTACAGCTTCAGGAAATTCACCGCTTTTTACGAACGAAGATTTACCTACTAAATTACAAATAGCGCTAGGACTAGGAGAGACGAAGAAGTGGACAGCACAGGCGCTAACTCACGACTGACGGTTTTATATACAACGTCAAAGAAGAAGGTGAAGGAAGTGTATGGAGTTGAAAAAATGTGAAGTAGGTCTATTTCTAGCCGGGGCGCTCTAAGATTGTTAGACTAAAAAGACTAAAGCACAGTAGACCAAAACGAAGATATTAAAACTTAAACAAAGTTAATGATTTTGAACTATATACGATACTATTCTGAAGGCATAGTTAATAACCCTAGACCGTGGGAGACAAAATAATAAAAAATGAATAAAAATGAATAAAAAATGAATAGAAAATTAATAAGTGATCGTCCATAGGCCGGTGATCAGTGCCTCGTACAGCCTATTTTTATTTTTACATCCAACAGGCACCACAGCCAAAGCTATACCGGCGCGAGCGCAAAGACCCACCCGGTGCACCACCTCACGCGTTCGCGTGCAAAGTGGTTCAAGTACTGAATCTCTTTGTCAGTCAACGCCAAAATGGTGCGGAGACGCATTTTTCGCCATTGGCTTGTATGGTCTGTGCTTCAAAGATTTCCCTGTTCCTCTTGTCTTTAAAACGTCTGATCACTTTTGTATCCGAAAGCAAAGGTGTGCAGGAGCAATCTCGCACATGCACAGCTAAATGTCCAGAAGGTGTTGACTTCAACGTCAAAGCATGTTCTCTGAGTCGTGTATTTATGCAGCGTCCAGTCTGTCCTATATACACTTTCCCACATCTGAAAGGGATTTCATACACCACTCCGCTGTTGCAGTCGACATACCGGTGCTTGTGGTTTATGTCGCATTCATGATGTTGTTGCTTGACATTGTTGATTTTTGGGCACATTCGTTTTAATTTATCCGGTGCCGATATGACGACTTGGACATCCAAACGTGGATGTTATCTTCTTCATGTTGTGGGAAATCTTGTGGATGTAAGGCACCACAGCCGGACGGCGTCTCTTCTCGTTGATTTCTTCTCTTCTGTTGTTCTTTGTCAATAAATTTTCGGCAATGTCAGCCAGAACTGGGAAGGGGTAACCCGAAGCTTTCGAACGAGTCACTTGTAAATCGAAGCTTGATTTTCCTCTGTGCTCACATGACTTGTTAAACTCCATGCTTAAACAATTAGACACTATGCCTCGCTTTACAAGTTTGGAATGGAATGAGTCATAGCGCAATAGCCGTTTTTTAGAACGTGGGTGGTACATCCAGCAGGTCTGGTTTTGGTTGAAAGTAATCTGCAGGTCTAAAAACTGTAGGATGCCGTCTGTTGGTACCTCCATGGTAAAGTTGAGCTGTTCAGCTTGTTGTTTGAAGATTTCCCTTCAAAAGGCTAAACAAGGTCTCTAAGGTAAAGTTTTTTTTGTTCTGCTCACATCCACCGGGTGCGTTTCCTACGAGACAGAAAGAATCACGACTAAAACGTCTGCCCCGGACCCAGGAGAGGCTGTGGGGGCGGGGCTCTGTCGCACACATGATCACCGTCTTTATCGCTATACCTCATCGTCTCCGTTTCCTCAATTTCTCGCCTCATCGCCCTTTATTTTGTACTCAATGCATCCCAGTTTAATGGAGCACGCCGCTGTATCATCTGTTTCTCATACCGCAATGCTACTTTTAGTTCGTTGTGCTTTCGTGGTCTAAAATCACTTAGAAGTCGTTTACACGTTACAAACGGTTGCGTTGCAGCAAGGCGCTGCCGAGATTTTGAACTGTGTATAACGGCACTTTTTTCTTTTTTCTTTTTTTCAAATATGTACAGTTTTACTCCTGCTATCGCCTCCACGAGGTGAGCAGTATTAATAAATAAATAAATAATAAATAAAAAGGGATCATCCGCTAGGCGTTCTCCCTTGAGCCTACATGTCGACGCTCGATTTGCTTTGATGTAGGCGGTAGCGACTCATTTTACATTCATACGGCGCGCAAGGTCGCCTGCTCTTTGCGTACTTTGTGTGTTTGGTTCCCCCGATCTCTACCAGTGATGGCGAACCCTTGACGGCCTCATCATTGCGCGTTTTTTTATGTTGTACTTTGATTGGCTCGCCTTTCCTTGCGTTCCAACACGCCAAAAGTTTCTTCTGGGACACTTGCTCGACGTATAACTTCCCACGGTTTTAATGTAGAGTCTGTTTTGAACATGTGGCTTCAAACCTGCGAGGGTTTCGTGCATTAAATTAAAAGACACTGTGAATGTCTCTCGCGCTCACGCGTATTACGAGCGAACATGTCTCGCCAGCTTTGTGTTCTAAACACTTGATTTCATCAATTCAGTAACTGTCGCAAATATTAGTGGCAACCCTGCGGAAGAAATACAGTTTTTATATGAGTTGAAGCACCGGTTGTAGGGACCGTAATTATACAGATTTCGAAAAACAAATTAAGAGTTCAAGGACCAAAGAACGAATAAAAACACGCAGGAACAAGAATGGGTGGCACAGTTCTTGAACTGTGCCGTCTGTTCTTGTCACTAAGTATTTTTTTTTATTCTTGTATTTTTACCAACCCGCTATTTGTTCTTTGCAAATTAAGAGTTACTCTGGTTTTTTCTAGGGTGGCTGATGTACAAAATGAGTAAATTGTTCGTACCTTCAGCTGGAGGACCTTTGCTGCGTTGAGGACCTTGTTAGCAAATGTAGAATCTGTCACAACATGAGTCGCATCACCGTCGCTCATTTGGTAGTGAAGCTCTCCTGCAATTTGGAGGAAAAATAAGGCATGTACTAACTACGTAATCAACATGAAATAGAGGATGTCTGAAATTATTCTGTTGGATAGATTTGTTTTTATACTTTTTTTTTTATGAACGCTTATGCCAGTTTAGTTAGAATAAAAAAGGGTTCGATGCGACCTGCTCGAACTTTGCGTTTTGCGTTGGTCAAACGTACACTTAAATACATCACGGTGAATAGCTTATGATAATCGTTTTCTGTTGACTATTAATGGCCCCGCCGCCAGCTTTTTGAAAGATCCTTCTCGCCAAATGGTCTAAACGCATGCGGTATGTGGGCTGAGCTATCATTGACCGAAGTACCTCCGCGCGCAGGAAGGCCACGAGAAAGCCAAGCATTAAAATACAACTGGTCCGTCTCCAGCGCTCCGCACTGCGGCCGGCCAAAGCAACGAGGCTCTGCTCACTTTCTGTGAGCGATATTTTGGCCAAGATGACGGTCGCCCCAGCAAGAACGCAGCCGAACATGGCGAGAAAGTTTTCCACGCTGTTCTTCAGGTGGACGCACACTCGGTGGCCAGCCAGGACGCCGTTGGCCTGGAAGCCCGCCGCGTAGCGCTGCATCCGCGCCAACACCTGAGGGCCGGTAAGAGACACAGTGCGGTCGGCCTGCAACAAAAAGGAGCAAAGCTAGAGCCATAGACCTTTGCAGTTGCGTTTAGGTCGACAAAACCCGGAACAATCAACGTTGTGAAAACTCAGGTTTGGTTATTTCATCGAATGCGGTTGCATCACCGACGCTTCCTCGAAATCCATTTTGTCGCACCCCCATAAAGTGAAAAGAGAAACATAAAATTGAATTATTTGTAGCATTTGTAGCTGGCCAATGTTTTGCTATTATAATTATTCCCTCTACTTTTTGAAATAGAACACCTCGCAAATTAAGGGCCTCAGATGTTTGCTGGCACGTCCTGGTCATTACTTGTGGTAGAGACTAGGCGATTTGGCTCAGGTGAAGCTTTGACCTTAATAACAGTAGCAATTTAGCAGATATGGTACAAACACTGATCCTGTTAAAAGTAGTGATTAGTCGTTTGCTCGATCATGTTTCCAAAAGGCTTCTGTACAGGTTTTAAGAGAATGTGGCCAGCCTCGTGCGTTCATCGCCACGACTCACTCCAGGCTCGTGCTTCGTGTCTCGAAGGTCAGCACTCGATCCTTCCCTTCGTCGGTTCCATGTTGCCCAAAAAAGTCTTCAACAGATCCCAATATGTTAGAATGAATATTAAATAAAAAACAACTTTAAGAATCGCGTTTTAAATTTTTTTATTATTCTGTTTAGGCGCTTTTCGTGAGCACAGCTTTTTTAAAGCGCCTTCTAACCAAACCTCCAATCCCAAAGTTTTGTCCGTCCGTTCGTTCATTTCTCGCTAAATTTTGAGGGGAAGCTGAATTAATAGGGAGTTTTCGTAGATGGTCTTCGCTGTCCCGCAACGTTCTCGGCAACCCGTTACGGGATCCAGGTCTCTGTAGGCGAGGCTAGCGCCGCGCATACGCAGCAGTGGCGCCTTCATTCCGGAGAGGGTAGCGGGGCGGAAAACGGCCAACGAAAACTCCTTAGTGTTAAGGTCACGTCACGGTCGTAAAATCAGGTGACAGCAGTGGTCACGTGACCTGACGTCACGTGTTCTATACACCAATTAATTTTCCCCGCTAAAATGGGCGGGGAAATAAAGGGTGTCCCAAGTCACCATGCTCGATCTAAAATTGACCGTAAAAATCGAAGCCTGTACGTAGCAATCTAAACATTTTGTCAAAGGAGCATTTTACAGGTCGATTTTTTCTTGTAAAATAAGAAAGCGTAGCTCCCTTTTTATAAAAAATTAGGGCCCAAAAACTTGCCAGGGCCAACGGCGGGCGGCGACGCAGACGACCAAGTAGAGTGGCGGGGCACGCTTGGCACTCGTGTTGATAGATGGCGTCGGGAGCAATGACGGTAAGTGCAGCCGACCATCCAAAGAACGCAGACAACACACAGACAAAATCCGTTGGCGGCAAAAGCGCCATCGTTGTGGAGACACGTTTTTTTTTCTTCATTTTAAGTTTTGCTTTTATTGGTCCCCATTTATTTTTTAACCGAAGGTACATTCCCAAAGTACAAGATTGTGTTCATTTTAATAAACCACGGTTGTCGCGAGTGGTCTCGATATGGAGGTAACGCCATCTATCAACATGAGCGCCAAGCGTGCTCCGCCACCCCACTTGGTCACCTGCGTCACCGCCCGCAGTTGACATTGGCAAGTTTTTTGGCTCTATTTTCTACAGAAAGGGAGCTACGCTTTCAAACTTCACAAGAAAAAAACGACCTGTGAAATACACCTTTGACGAAAAGTTTAGACTGCTACGTGCAGGCTTCGATTTTTTCGGTCCATTTTAGATCGAGCCTGCTGATCTGACACACCTATAGGTGTCTCGTGACATGCACCAATTTTATTTTCCCGCTAAATATAAACGGAAAAGACGTCCCGTGACCTATACATCTATTAACTTTCACCGCTATAATTAGCGCGAGATTTGACATCACGTGACCGGACGTCACATTACCTACACCAATTCACTTTCCCCGCACACGTACACACTAATTTAGTTTCCCCGCTACGTTTGGCAAAGAAATTGCCTTCACGTAAATTGATATCACCTGACCTATACGCCAATCCAGGCTCCCCGCTAAATTTGGCCGCGAAATTAAAGTCACGTGGCACAAATGCCTTCTGTTGCCCCGTTAAATTTAGCAGGAAAATTGACGTTCCTGATTGCACGTGACAGCTAGAGCAAAACGATGTCCCGCTAAATCTAGCAGAAAAATTGACGTCACATGACCTATACACCGAGTTAGTTTCCCCACTAAATGTAAATGAAAAATTGACGCCGCGTGACTTATGCATCCAGTCTCCCTGCTCAATACAGCAAGAAAATTTCCAAAAACAAGTATTATTTTTCGCTCCTTGAAAAGACGGGTTAATGCATTCAAACTAATTTTAAATGATGAATCCTTAAGGGGAATTAATCTGTTCGTCACTCAATGGGCGAATTTCGCTACGCAAACCTGAGTTTCAGTAATGCGCGGCATTATAGATTATTTTTGGGGTTTATTATAAAGGTGTACGGAAGGTTGTACTCCCCTCGGATTTTCCCCATTAAAGCGCTGGAGATTTCTAACACAATCTAGAAATAAGGCAATTTTGAGTGTTTTGAGGGCATTTTGAGGCAATTTCGAACTTACATTTATCTAGATACTGAACGTAACAAGACGAATAGTAGTACGTGCTAGAAGTTTCTACTATGCCATACAACAATAGTCTATGGTCGTCTATAAAAAATTCCTTTTATGGCCGCCAATAGAAAACTGGCCCAATTAGCTATAGCCGCTTTTATGGCTGTCTATATCTTTTCTATGGTCTAGCTATGGGTGTGTATAGCTTTTTTATGGCTTATCATTGGTTCGCCACGACTATCTATAGCTTTTTAAGCGGATAGCCATAACATTATGTATGGTTATGTTTATGGGTCTCTTTAGAAAGGATGCTATAGCCGTTTATAGTTTTCCTTACGATTCCTTGAGCCATCTATAGCTTTTCGTAGGGTCTGCTATAATGGTTTTCATGGCTTTCCCTATGAATATTTTTAGCCAGCGTGCTGTAGCTGCCTATAGCTTTTTTATGGTTTCTTTTGTCATCTATAGCTTTTTGTATAATCTGCAATTGCATGGCAGTTTTGAAATTAAAATTACTTAGACGATAAAAGTGACAAAAGTGAATGGTGGTACGTACTGTGGGTGTCTCTTATCTTGATTTTATGACCCTGACAGAAACGCTACATGTCTCAATATTTGCGTATTTATACACATAAATTTGACAGGGCAGTTTTCGCTAAATTTATACTTAATAGGTTAAACGAGGTGGGCATCACCAGCACGAAATTTCACAAACCAGAGCATTCACAATGCAACCCGATCACCAAAAACATATTTTGGACTCACTGCTTGCATTCGTACGGGCAGCGAGCCTTCCCTTTTATATACTGCTGCCCACAGGACCGAAAAAACAACGCTTGGTCACGGATTTCTAGAATATTCACGTTTGTTCTTGCTTCGGGCGTAACGTTTATCATTCATTCCTGCTTTCTTGTTCTCGAAAGTTTCTGTTCATTCTCGCCCCGAGCGCGTGACACTCTGAAGCTTCTTTGCCGAATTTTCGAGATAGTCACGCACACTAGATAAGGAGGTGCGCGGGACCTTTTCGAGTCAGTCTCGCTCTCGCTTGCTGTTACGCCGCCAAATCGCCGCCCGCTTTCCTGCTGCCTCGACGCTCGTTCTTCATTATGTTTGGCACAAGTTCGCCGATTAAACCCTTATTTTCAGTTCACTGTTCGTCCTCTCGTCACCTTCATTTGAGACATTTCTGGTGGTGGTACGGGGTATCGCATCCGAAGGAGCGTACCCCCCCGAGGCCTCGCAGCGCGAACCCAGCCCCCGGCTCAAGAAGATCACCCGTGGAGTCAACCGATACCCGAGGAAGCCGCCACACCAAGGATCCACCCCCGGGATTCGGACATCTACCGGACCCCCAAAGGAAGGAATTCGATAGGACAATTTAGGACAATGATAAGTTTCACACGCGAGTGCAGAAAATATCAGTGCAGATGAAGACTTTATAGGGGATCTTCATGAACTAGCCAAATACTTCAAGTTCGGCAACTCACATGACGAAGTGATTAGGGACCGCATTGAAGTGGGCGTAACGAGACAGAAAGCTCTGCAAGAGAATGAAGCTGGATGCGAAGCTGGCATTAGACAAAGCGACCACGACGACACGTCAGACTTACCCCCGAATTCATAGATGTGACTTGCTCTGAAGTCGAGCTTCAACTTGCTCAAGTCCGTCTTGCGACGAGCAAGCGCGCTTCATAAACGCACCTTAACTTGAACCGATCTTGAACGGAGCTTGAAGCGAACTTGAAGTGCCCAAATTTCAAGACTGGGTTGGACCTATCTTGAACGCGACTTCGTAGTCATTTCAACATGGCGGCTTGCTGATGTGATGTCGCATATGGGATCGCCGCGTTCAATATTTGTGTCCTGTAATTGCGGTGTCGCCCTCGGTGACGGGTATTTTTCGCCCAGAGAAGCGGCCATTCCTCCGTGATTGAATGCATCCCACCGGGATATGCGACGACGAACGGCAACGGCGCGGGAGCTGCTCGGCCGCGACTTGACGGCCTGATCCGAACGGCGACAACAGGCGGCTGCCGCTGATACCCAAGCTACAGTTGCTCGTCACGCTGCGACTTTTGCTGGCAAGATGTTTCTTTCAACATTTCACAACAGACGGCGTGCGGCGCAATCGGGAGAGTGACGCGTCTCACCGTAAGGCATCTGTTGCTCGGACTGCTCGGACTCGTCCACTTCCCCGGCGCTCCCGAAATCATCCGCCTCCTTCGAGTAACCGGGTTCACGCACGCGTGTATCAAGAGCCCGGGCCCCGGTGGCGATTATGCGGACATTTATGAGAACTTCAAAGCAGTTGCCTGCATAAACTATCAGGTGGGTTCCCCCGCTTACCGAAAATAAACAAGTCTCCAGAGCTTCTGGCGCGAAGGACCTGAGCAAGCATGTGTGGTGCGCACGCACGTTTGCTGATGCAAGCTCTTGACCCCTAATATGTAACGTTCCCTGTATGCATGCTAGCAGTTGTTAAAAAACAAAAAGCGCCGAAAAAATACAAGGACACAGAAAAAGAAAAACAGGACAAGGCGCCTTGTCCTGTTTCCTTTCGTCTGTGTCAATGCATTTATTCAGCGCTTTTTGTTTGCAATGAACCAACTGCCCCAAATATCCACTTTATTGCAGCAGTTATTCCCACTTCTTTGTTGTTTGTGCTGGATTACTTGTTTTAAAAAAATGACGTGTAGTATGTACTTGCCCCCTGCGTCAGTAAAGTAAATATGAAAAATCAGGAATGCTTTCTAGTTTGGTGTTGCCATGCATTTCAACTTCTCAAGTGATCTCTGAAGGGTCAAATGGCTGCTCAGAACAAAATTGGTCATATAGCTGCTGAAAACTCACTCGAATCCATTTACAGATGCGACACATTTCAACAAATTTTTTTTAACAAGTTTTGATGTGTTGTTTCACTACTGTATTTGTTCAGTAGCTGTTCACCACAAAACATTATACTTCTCGAATTACATCTCGCTTAAAGTTAGTCGCAAGGCTTTGCTGAAAGAAGGCATATCTTCTTTTCTTAAGATTTCTGCAACATTTGACAAGTGGATGTGTCGAAAGCATTGTTTAGTACTATGCTGAGGAGTGTTTACCAACTTTCCCCGAAACAATATCTAATAAAACAATAGCCACCGGTTTAATTTTTTTTTTTGCTCTAAAAGATTTATTACTATGCACAGGCTTGCACCAAGCTCGATTCGCGGGCACAACACTTTTGTGCCCACTCCACAATCAAAATATTATTGCCTCGTGAAGAAAAAAATACATCACAATTCTTCCACTGCAAAAAAGGCGAGACAAAATGAGTTGACCTTTTTTATGATTGTTCACTCGCACTAAACTTCACACCCATGCACATATTATCTGCATGCAACCTCCATAATGAAGATGTTGGGATGATAATTTGTCAAATTCTTGAAAACATCATATATTGTCTCTCTGACTCGTAACATTTATTAACTCATTCAGGTACAACACCGCCCAAATAAAGACTCGCAACACTGCTGAAAGAAAAAGACAATCCCTATGCCTCGTTGGGTAGTTGAAATCATCACTATGTGCGCAGCATCACGTAACCTAGGGAAAACGAGCCATCCTTGCTGCTCTGCCAGTCATACCAGCCAGGGGACAATGTTGAGAAGATCAGTGCGACTGCCAGCTGAAAGGGGTAGAAAAACAAGCAGTCTGAAGCCAGAGTGGTACTGTATAGGTATGGTGCCTGGAATGCATCTCCGACTGGTCTGTCTAGAGTGTCCAAAGAAGTGGTCCCTCAATTTCTGCCCGGTGCGTCATACAAGTGTCATACTGTCGCCGGTCGCAATCCTCCCAGCGGCGGTGGTTGATGTGGCAGACGCCTGTTCTGCTGCAGGTCACTCTCCAGTTCGACAGTCCACTGAAGCTCCAGCAGCCGGTGGTTGGGACGCCGTAACAACAGCGACACTCGTGTTCGCCTCGTGGTACTCGCGGCTGCTCTTTAACTTTTCAATGGCCAACCGCCAGGATCGCAATAGGCAATAGCGTGACACTTCGACTTCTGTGATGTCATTCGTTGCCTCTTCGTGACCACTTTTGATGTATGGGCAGTAAAGGAGGCTAAACACACCAGTCGAAGACTCGCTCCAGGCACCATACTCGTCGGGTAGTTGAAATGGTCACTCCGTGCACAGCATCACGTAACCTAGGGAGAATGAGCCATCCTTGCTGCTCTGCCAGTCATGCCAGCCAGGGGGCAATGTTGGGAAGATCAGTGCAACTGCCACCTGAAAGGGGTGGAAAAACAAGCACGCTAAATTCAGAGTGGTACTGTATAGGACCCCCCTTCCTCGTGGCACCAATGAAATGGGGATAATACGTATGTTGCACGGTGTGCACATTTTCAAACTTTTGAGCACATAGTGAGCCACAGTTCATTAATCACAATCATTCATATAATCCCTAACTGAAATGCTTTGTTTAACTGATGTTTATGTATATGATGTTTATCACAAATATGATGCGAGTTATGCTTTGCTTGGGCATAATGACCTAAACCTAGAACAGTCGAAATAAGATAAAGATGAAGGAAGGTATGCAAAGCGACCATCCATTTCATATGCCCACCTCCCTCCATCCTTGTCTTGTTTGCATTTTTGTGATCTAATTTATTATGGGATCATGCTTTTTTCATTATTTTACAAGTTATTTTCTCTTTGATTCTTGCATTCCTAAGTGGCATGCCTTGTGAATGCTGTGTCCTGCATGTTTCTTTCCCCAGTGAAAATACCAGTTTTCTTTTCTAGATTGTGTTTAGAACTAATGTGAACCCTGTGCTAAAAATATGGTGGAACGTATTGCTTCCTTTGTTTACGTTTCATTACTCGCTGCACACTTAGAAATGTATGAGCCTCAATATTGCTGTCCCACTTCCGAAATAAAAGAATTTTAATGGCTGCAACCTGTGCATTAGCCTCCTTGTTTGTCTTGTAATCATGAAACACTACCGACATAAAACCTGCAAAAAGGGAATGGCTCAAGCTGTTGACAAACAAACATACAGACTAGAGCTGCTTATTTAGATACATATCCCAACATGCGGCTCTGACGGGCAAACACAAAATAATTTTCTGGAGGTGACCCTGCACATCTAGAGGCCCTGAAAGACTCCAAGTTTTGTTTACAGATAGCTGAGATGCTAAATTATAGAAAAAAAATCATTCTGACCAACCTCGTATAGCCTACACCAAATGCTGCACATACATTTGGCAGTTGAGGAAAATAGAAGGAGTGCAAGCTTGTGCTTATATCTAGGAAACAACTGTGCTGGTGAACAATTTATCTCCCGGTGGTCCACAGTGAGTGCATTTCAGTCATCAGTTTCTAATTGTGCACAAATAGAAAGGAACAGAGGAAAGAGAAGAGACAAGCACAAACTCGCAATTCAATGTATTGAAGGAAGAAAAAAGAACAGCCAGTAGCAACAGCTCGAGCCGAGGCTGTTCTTTTTTCTTCCTTCAATACATTAAATTGTGAGTTTGTGCTTGTCTCTTCTCTCTCCTCTGTTCCTTTCTATTTGTGCACAATTTTAACCATGTTCTATCATTACCAACTCGCCCAACTAACCACCTTAATTCAGTCATCAGGTTTTCTAGTTTATGCAAATTGTCATAGTCACTAAACAGCCTTCTCAGGTTGCTTATATATTTCCAAGCTTAGACGTTGTGCGAGTCGTAAGCTTGTGAATGCAAACTAGTGTGTCACAAGCTTCATGGTCGTGTAGCGCAGAAGAAAAACAATGTGACGAGGACACGAGAGGAGGGCCATGGTCGTAACAAAAACGGCTCGGATCCTAAATGACTTCCTATTAAACAATTACAGTGGTGCGAGCATTTACTGCCGTAGCCAAAGATGTTCAAGCAGCCAAATAAACACGGCACTGAAGAGTACAGCGACGAACTGATGGTTGTCACTGAACTCGACAAACGATCAGGGTGTCACAGTTGTCTTGAAACAGTCCGGCATATGTTTTTATGAACAAGTAGAATGTCTGGCCGTACTGAAACATGTCATACCAATCTTTGGAACAGTGTGTCGCATGCAGAATTGGGCAGCCACAACTTTTCAATCAGTGAAGCAACTGCAGCTCTGAGACATGGTCGCACAGGCGGAAGAGCGATGAGCGGCCTTTCACATCCAGACGACGGTAGGCCATAAAAGCAAATTTCTGCAGTCACGTCAGCGGAAAGAGATGCTTTCTGCTGTTAGCCCACTCGTTTGCAGCATTGCTGACATTGATGTGGTGCTCCCAGGCATCATAGTCACTCATTTATGAGAAGACAATGGGTACCGACCAGTAATGCTTGATAGACATCTAAGAGGAAGTCGCCTAAGCCCTAAAGTGCCCTTTTACGAAACCACAGCATGCAGCTGCATTCAACAGCTTGAGCGCTTTACTCATGTCCTCGTTACTTCATCTTTCTCCTGCTCAACAGACGGTTCCCCTTCCTACCAGTGCACCACTGGCTGCAGCAGCACACTGTCTCGTTGTGGACAGGGGGCACTCACTGTGCACAGGGGGCACAACATGACCATGCTCATTTACTTGCCTGGAAATTAGGTCCAGCCCAGACCACATTCACTGGCTGAAAAAGCAGTTCCCTTCCTAAAAAAAAAAAGAAAAGTTTATGTAAGGCACTTACATGAAATATACAAGATGTAACCACAACGCTAATATTTCCTAAGGTGCTACTCCTGCTCCTGGACTTCATCTTTAGGGAAGAGACTTCTGCAAACCGTATAAAATGGTTTGACTTCAATCCACGGCTGTCACAAATGAGAGAGTGGCAGCGTCGAGACTATTAACAGCCGAAATAATCAAATAGAAATTAGAAAAAAACTAAAATTTTAAAGAGAGCTTTTTGATTACAGAAGGTTAACAACCCTGCCTCTGCGCACCAAACATCAGTGACAGTTCCACTGCCTCAAGCACAACATGTTCTGGGCCAGAGTTTTTGCCCGCGAAAGCCCGACGAGGTAAACATAGCAGCGAAAACTATGATGCCCGGTAGCTACTTCCTGGTTTCGATCACCGAAAGCACAGGCACCGCGCCCAACGCTTTATGTAGTGGCGCCAATTAACACAAGCCTTCGGTGAAACATGTAAGCAACACAAAATAACGTTTAAAACAGCCGAAAGAGCGCTTAGGCCAGGCCGCGTAGTTTACAGTTTACATATCCGAGAGTACTACGCCGCATAGTTTGCAGTAAGGAAATGTTGTAGAACACTTACCTACTTTGAGCACCGCTTCAATTCAAAGTCCTTTACCTTCCGCATCGGGAGTTCCAAGCGCTTTTTCGTTACTAGAGTCCCGTAGGAAGATCCTATGAGGATTTTAAACTTTCTCGTTGAGGCGTGTGGACGCGGCACCGGAGTCAGGCACTCACTCGAATACCCTTTCATGCTTGTTGAACCCAGATAAGCATTTGTTTCTCGTCTTCAGTGAATCCTAGTTCAAGCTTTTCCCGAGTTTTCATAATGAAGGAGACGTCGAAATTCACTTGACGCCAAATATGTCCACAAGCGAGGGACGCCAACGAGCAAAACGAAAAGAAACAGGCCAGGAGCCATCGCTCAAATGAGCCAACGTTGCTAGACGGAAAAGCACATTTGTCTAGAAAACGCGTACAACGTTAGTTTCGAAACCTGCTAAACAGCATCTTTCACGATTTGCGTTTCGTAAAGACATGCTATGAAGAAAATTTTAAGAAGCAACTTCTTTTTGACGTTTGAAACCCTTTTTAAGAGAAAAATTGCAACCTAATCTCGCTCCCAGGCGGGAAGCAGCGCGAGCGCTCGCGACTTGAACGGGACTTGACGAAGGAAGTTCGCGGGAGCGTCTATGAAACGTAAAAGCCAGCTTGAGCGTTTTCAAGTCGAACTTGGTGTTGAGGCGGACTTGAGCAAGTCGAAGTTTGGCTTCAGTTGAAGTCACATCTATGAATTCGGGGGTGAGACAGTGAAGAAGCAACAAGCTCATCTTCACGCAGAAGACTGTCTCGATCGAGTTTGGGCGACGTCATCGTTCACGAGCAAGATGACTTTAAACAGAAAGTCCCCGAAAGAGGCCACCAAAGTAACCTGCCATTTGTGTGGCCAAAGTTTGCGCTCACGAAAGAAAAAAAAGGTCTCGCAAAAAACGCATCATGCAACAAGTGCAAGAAAACGGGGCATTTTGCAAACTTATGCCGCTGCTTAAAGACAGCACGAGAAGTCACGACAGAAAAGCCCGCCTTTCTTGGAGTCATGGAGTCGGCCGACGATGATGAGTGGAGGGTTGCGCTGACAGTCCAGACCGAACAAATACCTTTTAGCATTGACACGGGAGCCAACATCAGTGCGATTCCAGAAATAATCTACAAGCGACACTTGCACACGTTCACTTTGGTTGAAGCCAAACAATTAGTAAAGGGGCGTAGGCGAACAGCCTTAAACGTACTCAGAGTAGTTAGAACAGAAATTTGTCACCAAAGAGATGAGTGATGGTCGGTGTCTATGTTCTAAAAGACCTCGAGGAGCCATTGTCGAAGAACCACTTTGTGACATTGATACCAGCCAAACGACTGAGTGAGGTTGTCCAAACAAACCGGGAGTCAGTTGATCCCAAGAGTAAATTACCGGTTGTGCAAAGCAACCTTAGAAGATTAAGTTGTGTTAGGATGTATTTCCTTTATCTATGAGCACTCCAAGGCGAATTCCGATTCAATTAATGGAGATGATCAAAGAATACTTCAAGAGTATGGTCTCAATGGGAGTAACGTAAACAGTTGTCGAGCCGACCGATTGATGCTCAGCGATGATAGTTGTGCCGAAACAGAACGAAAGCCACAGGATATTTGTTGACCTCACAAAGCTCAACAAGTACGTGAAGCGAGAACGCCATCCACATCCGGTAAGAGACCACGCACTGGGTCAACAGGGAAGTGCAAATCTGTTGTCCAAACTAGAGGCCAACTCAGGGTTCTCGCAGCTTGAGCTTGCTCAATAGTCCAAGATCCTCACGATATTTTAAGGCAAAAGCCTTACTCGTCTCATTGAGCGAAAAAGCGTTGAAAAAGCGAATAAAACGCAATGGCGTGGCACGCAAAGCTCAATGGACGACCATACCTGTCCCATTATCTTGGCGTCGTCCTTGCGGTCGTCCTAAAAGTCGTCCTAGACTTCTAGGACGACTTCACTTGTCACAGTACGTGAAAAACAAGCGTCGGCGTCGTTGGTGTGCTCGAAAGATGG